ATTTCAGACTGCCATTTTTAGGGGTTCATGAAACCATACGAGACGCAGTTACAATCACTGCCTTAGTTTACTTACTTGCATTGATTGCAAAGCTTAGTTCTTAACCAATGAACAGCAAGACACACTTTTTAACTCAATTACACACACACAATTATTATATTTTAATAGGCACTAAAATAATAGCTAGATTGGCGCAGTACTTAAGCTCTGGATCTGGATGCTTATTCGTGTAAATACGTACATCTATAGGGCTCCAACTACATAATACAAGATAATTAATTAGACTATTACAAGGCATTATTTAAAAAAATGTTTAAACTAGTATGTTTACTACTAGTTTTAAACATTTATATTTATTTATTTATTTATTTTTAAACATTGTTCTACAAAACTATATATAAATGTTAAAATAACTATAATTTTCTGCTTCGAAGTATTTGCATTGCCTTTACTATTTAGCTCATTTTGTTCTATTTACCTTCTTCATACAAGGAATTATTTAAGAAGAAACCTTGAACCTTCATATTAATTGGCAGAGTAATAAAGATTTACGGCTTGGGCGTTCGTGTAATTGTAATTCAGTGAAATATAAAGGTTTGACACCTATAACACTTCGTAATCATACCCTGCATTCGAAATTATAGTTATCTAGAATATTGTGTTGGTTAATATCAGTGGATTAAAAACATTCTGACATGTGATGAAAAATTAAGGCTGATAAAATGAAGTAATGCTACAGTTTGCTTACGAGACCCTTAACAATTTGACGTTTTTACTTAATTACTATATTAAGTACATGTTAACATAGATAATTTTGAAAGAAAAATGTCTCTTATGTTTAGTATTCATTATTATAGATATTTCTTGTTTAATTTCACTAACGGTTACTTTTTATAAATTGAAATTAAAACTACACGAAAATTATAATTATAATTATAATAACAAAGACTTAAATTTAACTTTTGGTACCGACTAGTCCACAAAAGAAGTGGCAAGAAAATGTGATATAAGATATATATTCTTTTTGATTTTACAAAAGATAATAAAACATGAATTCAATACAAAATTGCTAACGGCCAGCCAAAGCGCACTTGTGTATTAGTAGTTGTAGTTTAAATGAATAAATGAAACTTGATAGGTTTGTAGCAGTAAACCAGTAACCTAAAAAAATAATCAGGAGTGACTTAGTCGAGAGTTCTTGCACTTAACAAATCCCTTAAACAACTGGGATTTAGAGCAATTCAATCCTAGTCCTAACCACCAAGCTACCACTAACATAACAAATCCCGAAACATATTACTGAAAAAATAATATTACATTGCAAAATGAATAATTATTACTTGCGTTCAACGCGAGAACATCCGCAAAATTAGATTAAATTCTAAAAATCATCTCTTGCGTTGCCACCTTTATTACAAGGTGGCAACGCAACTACAGCGGTCAGCGCTACAGGTGATGCAAATGTTAATGGCCGACGATCGTCACAATCATCAGATGAACCGCCATCTCGCTTGCTATCTTCTCATTCACATAACTCAATAGCTAATGTGTGTACCATTAACTCGTTATAACAAACGATATTGCTGTAAACAATCAAATCTCGAAAGTGTTTTATCATGCGTCCATCGCATTTCTTGTTCGTTCCGAGTGACCTTCCACAACAAAGGAAAAACAGGGCAGGTACGCCGTACGTCCCTAAATGACGGTGTGAACGCCATACGTAGCTAACTACTAAAGTAAGAACTATTCCGAAATTTCCGAAGGTGTGCGCCTTTTTCAATGTTTAATAACAAAAGGTTAAAACCTTTTGCTATAATAGGTACGTTCACAAATTGAACAGTTATGCTATAGCGCATGATTATGAGGATGGATATGGTAATGATAAATTGAACAATAATTACAATTTCAATTTTGAAATATCGGTTTGTTAACCGTTTAATTAAAGAATATTAGAATACCTAAAAAAAATATTACCTCAGCATCCGAATCCAAGCCAGCCAGCATCAATGGAATTTTGATAATTGCAATTTTAAGTGCAGATTTATCCTGTGGTGAAGAAAATTTCCGCAATAAAACTTTATGTTTTCGTAATAACAATAGATGCCTACATTTTTTATCTCAGTGAAGGGAAAAAAGAAATACCATTACTTTCCTTATCAGACTTAAATTTAGGTCTTTCCTTAGTTCCTAATTAACCTACCTACACTTACACAACGTGAGTTTGTACGCAGCGAAAAACATAATGCTACGTTAATTAGGATGTCATCTAGTCAAATAATAATCCCAGTGGGGCTCATTAACTGTGCGATCTACGACCAAAAATTTATCTTTATATTTTTAGTGAACACAATTACAGCAATGTTTCAATAAAGGCATGCCGATATGCCGATATGATATGTAAAGGCATGCCAAGGTTTTTTCGAAATTGAACAGCAACAACAAAATCTTAAGAAAGCGACGCTTTTTTGATACTTTTTGGAGCCCAGTACGCGAGGAATAGATGATTGGATATAAGATATTACATATCACGTAATATCTCCAGCATTGTTTATTCTTGTATAAATATTATCTTTATCTGACAAATTTATTTTTTTAAATATATATTTATCGAAATTCTTTATCGGACATACATAATTCAATGCAATATTGGATATTCGAAAAATTTTTTGTCATATTCCATGTTTTTTAAAATCATAAACTAAGCCTTAGAATAAAAATTTCTTCACAATTTATTGTCGGTCATTTAAATATAAAATATCTTCTTACAAAATTTCCTGTGTGCGGAAAGCGAAGCCATAGCCAATGATGGTGATCAAAAACTAGGTAACTGCACTAAGACTTTATAAATAGTGCAAAAAATAAGTTATTAGTGTAAGTAGTATTAGCGTGTGTTAGTTGAGTTACTCGTATTGTCATTAGGCTCATCCCTAGCACATGTTACTGTGAGGGTCGCAACCGTGCAATGGCTTCCGCTGATGCGTTAGCCAATGTGAAGTGGGAGATATACACTTTTAAATTTTCCGCTCACCAGGAGAAATTGAGTCAAGGGATTTGGGCTAACCGTTTTTAAAGGGTGGCAACGCAACTGCAAACCCAAAAGTGTTGTAGATATTCATAAGTGGCGGTGATTACTTAACATCAAGTGAACCGCGTGGTCAAAATCGGAAAAAACTTAAAAACAAACATAGTATCCCGACAATGGTTATTTGCTATAACATCGATCCCGAGGATCTTTTCAGGGGTGGCAAAGCGTGTAAACATTAGCAAGCTCGTAAATTCTTCCGACATCCGTTACTGAAAACGTTTTTCTTATGACTCTTAAGACACGAGATACCAGGAAACAATATCGGTTAGAAGCTTCCGCATTTTTTAATTTTATTTAGTTAAAATAATAGGTTGACAACTAAGTGACTGCAGATTTCAGTTACAGATGTTTCTCACTCCCATTGTTATGATATCCGTAAATTTTATGATCTTCTTTTTCTTATATTTTTTTAACTCAATATTAATTTGGAGAGGAAAAAGAAACATTTTCGCCAAATTAGCAAAACTATAAACTAAAAGATATAAAAGGTAGAAAATAATTTTCAATACATTTAATTTAAGTATAAAAATTTTTTTATTGCATAAAGGCTTGGGAAAGGCGTAATTATTTTATAGATTAGTAGTTTTACTTATTTTACTAACAACAAAAATATAATGAAAAAAAAAATAGTAATTTATAGATCAAAGCCCTTCTTTTTGTGTTTGTTTTCGGAACAGTTTTCTCTTAGATTTTATTGACTGGGCTACGTTTACAAATATTTAGTACCTGGAGGACCTGTATTTCGGAAATAAAAAAAATAAAAAATAAAGACAATGATCTGGTATAGAAAAAAAGTAAAAAAAATAAGTGTGTAAATGATCGTGATACGAACCGCGGCCGTCTGTTTTGAGGCCACCCCATACTGACCGAGCTATTATAAAATTTTTTTTTGCGGCGAAATTTACTGTCATATTCGAATGATATTTTTCATTCCCTGAAAACAGGGATAAAAGGACATTTTATAAAAATGACACCTAGCTAGATCGATTTTTCGCCCCCGAATATACACTACATTTCATGAAAATCGCTGGAACCGTTTCCGAGATTCCGATTATATATTAATACAACTTTAAAAAGTTATCCCCTATATGTGTGTTCATTTATTGTCGCGATGGTTTAAAGGATAAGATTCATCTTCATATATAATTATAATTCTTCTGTGGCTATGTATGTCACTTAACTGAACTGGACCGATTTTAATGAAATTTTGTGTCAGGTCGACTCGAATATATATCGTAATTTGGTCCAATATTTTTATTTTATTTATAAGTTATGGGGCTTAAGCAAATATTTTTCTAATAATAGTCTTAACAGGCTTGTGAAGTATCCACTGGTCTTCATTACATGTCTACTATAAAATTTCCCTCCACTAATTTGCTTGAGTGAAATCCGAAAACTGAAAACCAAAAATAAAAGTAAGTTTCATGGGAGTAGGTAAGTTATAATTTACGGATCTTATAAATAAGATAATTTTTATTTGCTTTTTTGTCCCATAATTTCCCCAAGATTTCCTTCCTATTAACAAACTGACAGCACCGGATAACCGGACTAACATAGGAAATGAGCTACGTTGTTTTCCCAATCTTTTGCCGAAGCAGTTAAAGCCAGGCTTACAGTAAACTGCACTACAAAAAACAAACATTAAATTAAATAAACATTATGAAACTTGATTACTCGGAGACGTGCAGATAATATATAAATTAATTACATCAGATTTAAACATGCGAGCGCATGTAAAACTATTTTTATTTTATCTGTCTCCAAAGATGACAAGCAAATCCTTCTGTCATTAATAATACCGGATCGCTGTTAAGTTTACACTCTTATTCTAATAAAGAATTACAAAATAATTGGGTTGTACTGCTTCGCCTAATAATTTGACAATACTGAAAAATATATATAGTTTAAATCTAAAATGAGTTCTATCGGTACTGGGGTAAGAACAACAAAACATTTTACTTTAACAAACTTTTGTTAGATATAACCAAAAACTTAGATTACAATATTGAGCATCTTTTTTTAAATGAATTGTCATATAATGTTTGATAAAACCGAGAAGATATTATGGTTGAGTATTTTAGAAGGTTACTTAATAGTTCAAATTTTGCTCAATCATTTCGTCAAATGGTTTCAGTACGATCTGTCTGCTTCACAATTCTCACCAGACGGTAGAGTTTTTCAAGTCGAATATGCTGCTAAAGCAGTGGAGAATTCAGGCACAGTTATTGGACTGCGAGGTAAAGATGGAGTTGTGTTTGCAGTTGAGAAGCTAGTTACATCAAAGTTGTATGAACCAGGTGCAAATAAAAGAATTTTCCATGTAGATGAACATATTGGAATGGTAAGTTAATAGTATATAGTAGTGTTTTACAATTATTTTTATGATTTTTAAAGAAATAAAAACAAATTCCACATTAAAAATTACAACAGGCAACGAAAATTTTAAATGACTCAAAATAACTAACACATCAAAACGTAAATAACCAGTTTATCTTCGATAGGGGAGTAGATTAATAGTTTGTCAATTTACTTTGACTTTCCAACATACATTTTAAGATCATACAAGGGAGCTCTTAGTTATGAAATAAGAAAGTAAAATGATAACCAGCTAAGTTAGGTTTTAATTTTCTAACCTATGTCACATTAATATTAAATTAAAAATAATGCTATGTTTCCAGGCTGTTGCTGGATTAATTTCTGATGCAAGGCAAATTGTTGAGACGGCCCGTTCTGAAGCATCGAATTACAGATCCCAGTATGGCATGCAAGTTCCATTAAAGTATCTGAATGAGAGAGTCTCAATGTACATGCATGCTTACACATTGTACAGTGCTGTCCGTCCATATGGCTGCTCTGTGGTTATGGGCTCCTGGTCAGAATATGATGGCCCTCAGATGTACATGCTTGACCCTAGTGGAGTTTCGTTTGTGAGTATGGTATAGTTTCTTTATTCAAAATACAACACTAAGTCAACTCTTATTAATTGCAACCCATGGGTAGAAGCTATTTCCAGAACAAAGAAAAACTCTTCCTTCATAAATATTGTTTGCAATTTATAGTGTTTGTAAATTATAAAAAACAAAAGTTTGGCCGTCCATAAATTTCATAATGGAGGAGGATATTTTAAAACTGACCAATTTGAGTTGAGTTTTTAGTATTAAGGTTGATGCTTATAGTGTTTGTACAACATTTAATCCTAATAAGTACTGAAAAAAAGTTTTATATAATAATAATGAAATTTTAGATTCAATTATAAAAATAGTATAAATATTAGAAACAGCTGTCTACAAATAAAACTTTGTCTTAATTTATTTTAACTACAGCCATATTAAGTATTGCCATTGTTTGCTATTATCGTATAAAATGCTATCATTATATGAAAATTAATTATGATTCATTTTTCAGTCTTACTTTGGATGTGCAGTAGGAAAAGCAAAGCAAGCTGCTAAGACTGAAATTGAGAAACTCAAGCTTGCTGACATGACTGTTAAGGAACTGGTGAAGGAGGCAGCCAGAATGTAAGTAATAGTTACATTTGATTGCAAATAATCATCTTCATTTAAAGAGATAATGATGGACATTTCCATAACCAGAGAATTCATAATATTGAATTATAAATTTAGGTATTAAGTTTTAATATCTAATACATTATGTGATCTCTTGATGGTTTTTTGATTCTTTATGAAACTATTTGTTTTTATATATTTAATGAATGTACAACCAATTTAAGCATACATATAATACTAATACAAACACTATGTCATATTAATATGATTATTGTTCTATTTCAGCATTTATCTAGTACATGATGAATTAAAAGACAAACAATTTGAGTTAGAACTCTCATGGGTGTCAAAGGGCACAAAAGGCCGTCATCAATTAGTGCCTCGGGAAATAGCCACTGAGGCAGAGAACCAAGCCAAACAAGCATTAGCAGATATTGAGGACTCGGATGAAGGAGAAATGTGAAATAAAAGTTTTATTTAGCAAATAAATTTTTACACTAATATTTTGTGTTATGCGATTTTTAAATTTCGATTTTTCCTGATTTCCTTTACTAACTCAGCGACAAACTTTCTGTTCCAGCTTATTACTTTTTTATACTATGTAGTGATGAACCTCGGCATTATTTCCATTTAGCTGAATTTAAAAATGTCATTTGACAGCGTTGGATCGCAAAGGAACAAAATCAATTTCTTTTTTTTAAAGTGGCGCAAAAGTTCCTAATTCAATCAGTTGAAACACTTCTGGTAATAGCTGAGGTGGGATCGAGGCAAAGAGACGTAAAGGGTGGTATCGAGAACTACTTTCTGCATTTGATTCATACGTGTCCCGCTTAGGAAACTCAATCGCCTGAGGTGTGTAGTAGTAGACCGTAATGGTAGGCTAATTGGGATTAAACCATTCGTAGAAGAAACTGTTAAAATAATTCCAGTCCAACATAACGCGTACACAGGGAACATCTTCGTCTCGAGGCGGTTCTCACTGCAATCAGCTACCGATTATTCGAATGCAGTTAACAGTCATCGGGGTCAGGGTCACGGTCCGTACCGAACCTCGATGGCTTCTACGTGACATTCCCCCAGATTGAGTTCGCCACGCATGGGCACATTGTTCTGCGTTCGATGAACTTAACTGTTTACGGATTGAAAACAAAAATATCACTTAAAAAAAGGAATAAACAATTGCGGTCTGTAAACATTTCATTATTTGGTCTCTTATTCCCTATATCTGAATGATCTCTGTTTGATTTGAAAAATCTGTTTCAGCTTTTATCGAGGTTCTCATAATATGCGTTTAGAAACTTATCTGATTATCCAGTCCATCAAGACTAAACCAGGCTTATTCGAAATAGTCGCCCTGTCTTTGATGTTGGGCCAGTTTCAATAGTCATAGGCAGATGGGCCGTCTCCAGTCTCCATTCAGCCAGACTATATTCTATAGTCCCTCCTAATTAAGAATGCTGGCTCCTAGGTTGTCTAGGTGGTATCAGCAAAGCAGATAGTAGTGTTAGAAAGTAGAAAATATCCGGAGATACGTGATTACTTACACATTTTCACTGCAGTTAGGCCACAGTCTTCGCTCTTGCACAAATGGGCAGGTCCGCCTGGGTACCTGGTACCATGACCTCGCAGAAGACCAGCGTAAAGTGGAAGTATGACAAATACTTTCGCGTTTCGTATGGTGAGTGAGGAAGGGTTCGTGGAAGTGTTATTATACTTATGCATTTCGTCTGGTGAGGTACCCGGGGCCCACTTTATTACCACTTTCTCACCTTTATATATGTCGTAATTATCAGTGGCGATGCCACGAATAGTTATGGCGACAAGCTGCAAAATGAATGTCAACAATGCCTTCCTTTAGCATGTAACAAACATTAAAATGCATACCGTTGTAATTAACGTTATAACGTATTTTAAGTACATTTTTTGTTAAATTCAAGTTAATTTTGTTTTAAGAGGGTGCTCAATATTCGGTCATGACCATATGTAGAAAGCTTTGCATACTTTGAATAGTATAAGAAGAATAGTCTAACAGGGAAATCTATTTTATGCTATGCAAGTTATTAATTCGCTTTCAGGTACAATATTACTAGAATTTAAAATAAATGACTTCAACACATCTTGCACACTAAGACATTTGTTAAATTTTCTTTACAGCTCAAAAGCGAGAAAACAAGAAACTATAACTTAAAACCTACCAATCATTGTTAATTATCGCTGTATATAAACGCCATCTACTCGTCCATTTGGGAACGCAATACTTTGATAGTCGCTTTCCATTACCCTCGAGCAGAATGTGTGTAACAGATGTTGCTGTTGCTAATTATTGAAATAAAAATGCTTTTTTCTTCAGAGCTTTTGGTAGAGCACACTTTAAACACTTTTGATAAATCTGTAATAACTCGATAACAATTAATCTTATTTCCAGAAGAATGATTCAATAGGAATATGAACTTAACTATTTGATGAGGGATGAATTATTGTTGTTTATTTTTTTAAACATGCGCCTGTAGAAAATACATGAAAAACTATTTCGAGTGGACGAAACACGGAAAGTAAAAAAATTTATATTTCGACCAAATGAACCCAATACTATTTCTTAACAAAACTTAATTTTTTTATGAATTTTGACCGAAAGGGATTGCCAAAAAGGTGTGGTTCAAATAATTAAAAAAAAAAAGCTTTATTAGGTATTATTTTGTATTGTCAATTTATGTGTAATATTTCACAATATTTGCAGACGTTCTAAGAGTAATATACAAACTGTTTTACGAATAACTATGATGACTCACGTATTTATAAAATGTACAATATAATCTCATTCGTTTGGACTTATTTAAATATATACAAAATATTAGCTTTGATAAAGTGTATACAATATCCATAATTAGATTACAGTGATATAAATACATAAAAAATAATAATCACTACGATATTTACAACTCAATTACTTAAAAACTAGTTAGGCCGTAATGCGTAGCTTCTATTCCTGCTGTGCAGTTACCCTTGGATATAACTGAAACAAAAAAAAATATATTATTTTCCATCCAACAATGATCAAATGATACAGAGGAAAATAAACAAGGACACTGTAACATTCGCGTATTCATGAAGTTTAAAATTTTGTACTCAGGTTTTTTACTTAACGATATCTTCTTGTATCTTGTATTAACTGATGTTTGTGCTTTCAGTCCAGAGACTATTAAAGCTTCATCTGACGCAGAACCGGTGGGCTAGCCAGAACCCACGGGTTTGGGCCCTCCGCTGTGGGTAGGGCCGCGCATGTGCTCATGCGTGCGTTTAACTACGGCATGTCATCTAAGGGTCATCGAAGTAGCGGTGCGGACCGAGACCCCGATGGCCGTCGACTGTGCAATTAGCTAATCGGTGGCTGGGGGCGGTGAGAACCGCCCTGGAACGCGGGTGTACCTTGTGTACGCGTTGTGTTGGTCTCGCCGTGCTCGGAGGCGAGGGCGAACTAATGTGTTTGTTGCTACACTAACTGTGTGTGTAGTGTTATCCGGCGGGACGCCCGACGGTGGGTCCGACGTACCTAAGTCCCCTTCCTCGACCGGGTCGATGAGGACGTTTCGCGGGCGACGCTTGTTGACGCTCGCGTTTAGATCGGGTTGGTAATTTGCTGCGCTTACCACCAGAGGGTTGGGATGATGTTCGGCTCTATCGAAGAACCGTTTGGTCAGGTCTTTGAAAAATTCGCGAATCATCGGGAGTCTGCAATCACTGTGCAGGTCGACGTTGCGTTGATACCACTGCGCACCGGTTGCGCGGCGGATGAACTTATTTTGCACTACTTGCAACTTGTGCAAGCGAGTAGGGTGCGTGTGGGCGAAAATCATGCATGCGTAGGACATGATTGGCTGTACGCAAGCTTTGTATAAAAGTAATTTGTGTCTTAAGGACATTTTACTTGACTGGTTAGTTAAAGTGCTTAGCCGGCCGGAGACGAACGCGGCTCTGTTACGGACGTTATTAATATGCGCTGTGAATGACATACGCGAGTCGAAAGTGACTCCTAAATATTTTACCTTTATCTCCCAGGGGAGCGGTTGGCCATAAAGAGATATTTGCCCTAGCTTTCAGCATTGGCGACGACCTTTATAAAGATGTGACGGGTAAGTACTTCGTGTGAAGTGAAGTGAATCGCCACACTCTTTTCGGGATTTACTTCAATTCTCCATTTGCGGAACCAATCGCCGAGGCGGTTGGCGGCGCTTTGGAGTCGAGTGGTTAGTTGACTAAGGTTGCGGTCTGAATAAAAGAGCGCCGTGTCATCCGCGAAAAGCGCGAGATTGACGTGGGGGTCTTTTGGTATATCGCTCGTGTAGAGCGTAAAAAGTAAGGGTGAGAGGCAGGAGCCTTGTGGAACGCCAGCCGTGAGGCGGCGGCTTGTGGAGAGGGCACCTTCAACTCGATATCGAAAGGAACGGTTCGACAAGAAGGCCTGAATGGTGTGTACAAGCCTGTCTGGCACTTTGAGTGAGAACAGCTTGTAAATCAAGCTGTTGTGCCAGACTTTGTCGAATGCCTTTGCGACATCGAAGAAAAGAGCCCCCGTGCTAATATGTTTAGGGTGATTTAGGCCTTTTAGGATATGTTCCGTTAGGCGGTATAATTGATCGGGACAGGAATGTCTTGCTCGAAAGCCGAATTGTTCCGCCGGCAGAAGGCCGTTGGAAAACACGTGGTCTTTGAGCCTGTTTAATAGAAGCCGCTCGTAAAGCTTCCCCAGGCAACTGAGGAGGCTGATGGGACGATAACTAGAGGGCTGATTGGCTGGTTTATTTGGCTTGCGAATGCCGATAACCGTGGCTTCTTTCCAGTCGTCCGGAAAGGAACAACTGGAGAGTAAAGTGTTGTAAATGGTCGCCAGTAAACAGATAAGTGGGCCAGGGAGAGCTTTAAGGATTTTATTACTAATATTGTCTGGGCCCGGGGCGGATTTGGGTTTTAAATTTTTGATAATATCTTGGACCTCTTCGGGGGTCAGTGAGTTTAATGGATCGCCTTTCGGTGGAAGCGCAGCCCTAGTTTCGATAACGCGGTCCACCTCCGTTAGGTGGGCTGTGTCGATGTGTTCGCGCGATGGCGTACATTGCTGCTCTAGGTTGTCCGCAAGACATTCGGCTTTTTCGGAGTCATCTAGGGCTAATGAAGTGCTATTAGGCATTGTTAACGGCGGTAGGGATTCGCGGGGCTCTGCTTTTAGACTGCGGGCCAACCACCAGTAGGCGGTGTGCGATGGCTCGATATCCTCTAGTAGAGTGTCCCACTCGGTATGTCGGTGTTCCGATACGCGATCTTTAACTTCTAGCCGAAGGCGTCGAAGTAGGGTTCGGTTCGATTCTGATCGGTATCGGTCGAAAGCTCGTTTGGTTGCATTTTTTTGTCTAATTAGCAGTCTTAGGTCGGGTGGAAAGTTAAACCGTCGGTCGCCCGACAGTTTCACTGTTCGTTCCGAATCTGCAACTGCGGAAGTGATAGATGCGCGAAGAATTGCTATCGCTCGATTTGCGTCATCGAACGTAGCTATCGTCTCGGGTAGGTTGGCGATGTGCTGGGGGTCCAAGGCCTTGAGTTTGACCTCAAGGTGATGCCAGTCCACTACGGTTTTGGTCGGAGGGACCGCGCCGGCGTTCTGGCCCAGTTTACACAGGACCGGCCTGTGGTCTGATTCTAATTCTTCGATTGTCTCTATCGACGCGATGTCGAGGGAGACCTCCTTGAACAACATGATATCAAGAATACTCGGTGTCGAATGCTGGTAATCGTCCACCGTAGGATATCTTGTGGGAGTCACAGGAGCGATTATGCTGTAATTTAAATCGTGAGATAAATTAAAGAGCTGCCTACCGTTGTTGTTAGCGTAAGTTTGGGGGTCCCATGAGCCGTGTTTGCAGTTTAGATCTCCTGCAATTATCACGGAAGGGCCTAAGTTAAGTAGCGTTTCTAAATCGCTTTGTAGAAGAGTTTTATTCCCCGAGAGGTAGGCTGAAACTAGTACAAGCGGCCTGTGGCCGGTGAGCGCTAACCTACACGCGGATGCCTCTATATGTCTTAGCTCTGGGATATCGGGCTACAGTGCAAGGACCGTTTATAATATATTAAGGTAGCAGACGGTTTGCTAACCGGTCGTGGCGGACTATATTATAATTTGCGATTTTTGGATCGCGTCTGCTAGGTTTCAAGAAGGTCTCTTGCACTAGAAATATATCGACGTTATAATCGCGAAGGAATTCTGCGATTTCGTCCCTTTGGCCCCTAATGCCGTTTGCGTTAAAATACGAAACAACCAGAGCCCGAGGTTTTAATCTACCTGCGGTTGTACTTTCCATTTTAGTTTTAGTAGCGGTTCTAGGTAACGACGCGGCGAAGCGCGGTTTTATTGCCCGGACTATAAACCTTTATGGTTGATTTGTAAATACCCAAAGGGCGTCTACAAGTTTTTTGTGCTCGTTGAGCTTAATGCGCTCGGTCGATCGGTGCCACATGTGGCGGCCGATAACTTTGTAGATAGGACGGCGAGCTCTTTCCGGTTTATGCGTTCCAGGAAGCTGCAGATGTTTGCCATTTGGGCAAAAGGGTCGTCTTGGTTCGCGGAAACGACCGGTGTAATAAAATGCACCTGCGGCCTCGGTGCTTGTTGTTTGACAGGTTGCGGTTGGAATGTCGTCGGTCGTGAGGCGACCGGAGGCGCGGCTACCTGCGCGACTGCCTGAGGTTTCGCCCAGGCGTTTACGACGGGTGCGGGCGCGGGAGAATGTACTTCGCCGGCGCGGATTTCGGGACCGCGATTTTCGCGAGCGTAATTTTTGCGGGTGCTTTCCTCGCGGGGGTTTTTGGAGCTTTAGCGCAGCCCCTGTAGCTAGCCGGGTGGCCGTTAGTCAAACAATTTACGCAGTCCGGTGGATCTGCGCAATCTTTAGGACGCGTGCAATCTGTCGTGCCGTGGTCACCGTTGCATTTGACGCACCTAGGGTGAGCAAAACAGTTGCGGGCTGTGTGGCCATATTGTTGGCAGTTATGACACTGCGCAACAACGCCTGACTTCCGTGGAGGCTCAACGACGAGTTCGCTAAGCCCACAGAGCCTCTTCAAATTAAAAATTGCCTTACCTTCCGGGGTAGGGTCCAACTCCACCATTACAAAGTCCATCGGGACACGGGTTCTGGGGTGACGTAGGCGACGAACGGCGTGCACCGGGTATCCCTGAGTGCGGATGTCGATTTTTACATTGTCGACATCCGACTCTTTCGGGATTCCCTTTATGACTACCCGAAGTTTGCGTTCTTCAGGCAGCGAGTAGGTATGGAAACCTACTTTGTTTTCGCGTAAATATTTAGTGACGCGGCGGAAGTCATCGATGCTATCGAGGTATACACGGATACCTTGATGGGTGTTCTTCGACCGGGGGTCTCGAATATTGTGGCGTTCGAACCACACGCAAATTTGATGCCATTTAGCTTTCTCCTGGATGATGATAGGCGGAGGAGGCTTGGCTTTTCTTTCGGCGGCGTATTCGGGTACCGGTTGGACTGCCGCGGCCGCCTTTTTGGCGGGCGTCGCAGTGGATCTATTAATTGAGGTGGCGGCCTCGCTTTCAGGGTCGCTATCTACGGCGGGGCGTTTCTTGCCCTTCTTTTTTCGTCCAGTGACGACGGTGAAGCCGTCGTCATTGGGTTTACCGGCAGAAGTTAAATTTACCTCCATATCCGATCCGCCGTCCGAGTATGAGTCGAGTACGACGGTGCACAAGGAGGCCGGGGTAGCTTGCGAGGAATGCGCGACGGGCGTGTTCGCAGCGGCGGATGTCGACGCGACGGGCGCTTCTTGCGTCGCGGAAGGCAACGGGGTTACGGGCGCAGAGGGCGCCGGAGATGGCGGCGATGCGATTGCCGGTGAAGGCGGGCTGTCGTTGGCGTATTCAACGACAAATCGTTGTTCGGATTCGAACGCTAGGTAGCTTTCCCAAATGTTGGGACAGCGTCGTCGGACGAACTCCTCGAAAAGGGAGCCCATCGTAACGTATGTGCCTTTGGGGCTTAGGCCCCGCCGGCGTGTGTAAGCTTAATAAGCCTCCCCACCTTGCGGCAGGGAGGAGTGTGCCTAAAAATAACACTTAATTCGCCTGCGCTTTAGGTGCGCTAGGGTGAGTACCTAGCTGTCGCCCAATGCAACAAGCACACAGTTAAAAATTAGGCAATGCCGCCTCTGAGGCGAGAAATGTGTGTAGAATTCTACTTACGGACAGGAACCTGCCTACGAGCACAACACTACACTAACACTAAACTATTGCACTACTTGCACAAATATTTAAATTGCAACCAAAGTTGCGAGTAGCGTCTAATTCGGGTGGCATGTGCCCTCCGTCTTAGAGAGACGTCCGTTCCGTACGAGAGCACGAAGCGGAATCACGATATCTTTCAAAACCGTAGCTTTTACCTTAGACACATTCAACTTGAAGTGAAAGATCGTGTATTGGAACACCGTCAGACCACGTGGATGCTCTTCTGGAAATTCTTACACTGCCTATTGGCAGTTGGTCCGAAATATGAAAGCAGGGCATCGCGACTTTAGTTCGACCTAATATCCCTTCATGAATTTGAAAAAACCGAATGCGGACAACCTAGAGTTATAATATGGCATACATTGCGACGTTTATGCCTATATCTCGTCAGTTATCGAAGTTGGGCTGCATAGTCAAATATAAGGCTGCGTTACTACCAGCTGACAACCCTTTGAATATCGTGAGCACGGAAGAGGTTAAACATTCATTAAAAAGTTTATGTATCGCTAGTACATACGCGCACATGGAGAAAGAGCCCCATCGCGGCAAGTAGCCCTCACTATAAGTCCGCAAGTACAGGCGCTCACTTCAATGAAAACATCCCGAGTCGCCCCCGCTTTCCATAGGCAAGTACAGTTGTGTCTCGTAAGGAAAACATCCCAAGTCATCCCCGCTTTCCTTCAGCAAGTGCAGACAGAGCCGGAGTCTGGAGGCCCCAAGGGGCCCTAAATTGTTTTCTATAGATTTCTGTTAATGTAATCATGTATGTACAAAGTACTGTAGGTAAAAGTAAAACGCGAAAAAAATATGAAAGGAAGAAGTTGTTTACTAGTCTGAAATTGAAATTTCTTTTCCGAAGTCTCTATTGTGGGGACCCCTCTTTTGTGGAGGCCCTGGGGCTGTTGCCCTGGTTGCCCTCCCCTAAATCCGGCCCTGGATTGCTTTATGGATATATTTATATTGGATAGATTTATAAAGCAATCCACCCCGAGCAGGTTGTGCGGCGCGTAGCCATCATACTGAGTCCGCAAGTACAATCGCGCGCATTAATGCTGAAATCGACCCACCGGAGCAGCTTGCGCGGCATGTAGCCGTCACACTGAGTCCGCAAGTACAATCGAGCACATCAATGTTGAAATCGACCCACCGGAGCAGGTTGCGCGGCACGTAGCCGCCACACTGAGTCCGCAAGTACAATCGAGCACATCAATGCTGAAATCGACCCACCGGAGCAGGTTGCGCGGCACGTAGCCGCCACACTGAGTCCGCAAGTACAATCGAGCACATCAATGCTGAAATCGACCCACCGGAGCAGGTTGCGCGGCACGTAGCCGCCACACTGAGTCCGCAAGTACAATCGCGCTCATTACTGCCAAAAGCCACCCACCCCGAGCAGGTTGCGCGGCACGTAGCCCTCGCGCGCGGCGTCGTCGCGGCACCACCACCACTCGCGCTCGTTGTCGTCGCCCTTGCGCAGCACCTGCAGCCGAGCGCCCGTCTCGAACGAAAGCTCGTCTCCCCGCGCCGCCGAGTACGAGAACACCGCGTACACCAGCCCGTTGTTCATTATGCCCAGCTTCTCTTGGACGCCTGCAAGTGAAACGAGCAACACCCATTACAACTTTAACTGTGGTACGGCCAATCTTCACTATTGCATGAACAGGTCCGTTTGGGGTTAATATTTTTTTTTAATGTAAGACGTTGGCAAGCGAGCTGGCGGTTCACCTGACGTTAAGTAATAACCACCGCCCATGGACATTTGCAGCACCGATAGGATTGTGACAGGATTAACTGTGGTAAGGCTTCGCAAATTTCGCTCTGTTGCACGAATGGGCAGGTCCGTTCGGGGAAGCACCACGGCCTCACAGAACACCGGCGTGAAGTAGTAGTGTTATACCTCTGCGATTCGTTTGGTGAGTGAGGTAGCCCGGGCTCACTTTATTAAAAGGTGGCAACGCATCTGCAATTCTACACGTTGCAAATGTCCATGGGTGATTATCATTTAACATCAGGTGAATCACCAGCTCGCTTGCCATGTACTCGCATATAAAAAAACTCTGTACTTAAAGAACTATTACTAAACTACTGCCATTATTCAAACCTATGCAGTTTTATTACGAAAATATTCCAAACAAATGGATATTAAAATATATACCTACTATATTATATGTATACAATTTTGCAACTTTGACACATTTAAATAGATTTAAAAATAATTTTTGATATTACCAACACAAACATTCCCAGTTCTATGCACAGTTTTAAGGAACTTATTATAACTACACGCTATTGTATATAGCGATTTGTTGTCACTTTACTTACTGTATAGATATTCCGAACATCCGTCGAAACCTTCTTCGTCCTCCTCACATTTTTCGGCCGCTGTTTCGTGATCTGACAGAGTTGTTGCAAATATGCAAGCGCCTGAAATGTATTGACATCGATTTAGTAATCTTTAATATATCGAGTACCAATTATAAATTAAATATAAAACAAAGGCCAATAGCACTGCCTAGGTCTATGGACCAATTAAACAAAACTATGAAAATTTGAGAAAATTACAGTGAGGAATTTGACTAGATAACATTAAAAAATAGTTCGATTTTCATTAAATTACTGAAATAAATTTGTTTCGCGTATCTAAGAAATTATCAATTTAATTTAAAAATATTGTATAAATAGTGTAATATGTGTTAATAAATATTGTTATAATGTTTTTATTATTTCGGGAAGGGGTTTGAAACCCCAAAATCCCCCAGGCTGCATTCAACGGTGGTAGGGCCACGCAGCAGCCTCGGCTGTTGCACGAATAGGCAGGCTCGTCCGGGTAAGTACCACGACCTCACAGAATACGGGCGTCAAGTGGAAGTATAATACTTTTGCGTTTCGTGTGATGAGTGAGGTAGCCGGAACCCATATTTCAAAAGGTTGTCAACGCACCTGCAACCCTCGGTGGTAGAAGATGTTCATGGGCGGTGGTATTCACTTAACATCAAGTGAACCACCTGCTCGCTTGGCAACTTTTCACATAAAAAAAAAAAAGTGAAATAAAGTGGAACCTTTATGGATCATATTTCCTTTTTTGATGAAGTAGATACACCATTTGAAAGTTCTTGAGGGAGACTAACCTTAGTTTTTATTTAAATAATAGTTTGTGTGCAACTATCCAGCTATCCTAATGTCAAAGAAAATACAGTGCGATTGAAACACGGAGCCGTTCATCAAATATAAAAACAAATATTTAGCTCAGTCACTTTAAAATGTTTGTTTTGTTAACGAAAGCACATATCATTTATTTACATCGATTTTCATGCGTACCCCAAATATTTTACAAAATACTATCGGTTTGAAATAAAGAACTATATATTTCCCGGTCATATTTTTAGACAACGCTACCTCGTCCTAAAAGCTTGAACTGTGGGTACCAGATGATCATACTTAAACATACTTTTCTATCTAAATATATACTCATTACAGATATATGAACACTAAGATACTAGATAAACAGTATGTTCGTACAAACAATAGTTTTTCAGAAGTTTGGATCGAACACACACCTTTTGACGCAAGAGGCAGTTTCACTATCTGATATGCCAATCGGGTCCTCAAAAACCTACTTCAAAAGAGTTTTCAATTCGGTTGTATTTTGTATGTTTGCTACCTCCGAACTTCGTCAATTATGAATCGATTTCCTTTTGCCAGTGTCTTTCGCACTGGTGTTCTAACGGGATATTTGTGCAACAGTGGACGTCTTGCGGCTATTGTTAGATGATATTATTTGCTCACCATTGTCGACGAGGAAGCGAACCATTGGCAGGTTGTTGCAGGAGGCGGCGCAGTGCAGAGGCGTCCAGCCGTCTGAGTCTTGCGCGTTCACGTCACAACCCAGCTCCACTAAGAATCTATGTGAGAAGTACGTAAGTGCTTGATATGAAGCACCTCGCGCAGTAAAACACACGTCCGTCTTTATACGCTTTATTTGGAAACTGCCGGTACAATAAAACTTATGTCTACATACGTTACACCTCAGAATAACATTCTCAACTAATAATAATCTGTTTTGCTGCTATTATCTTAGTAATATTATCTTACTTACTACTACTACTTACCTTGTTGCTATCATCTTATATAATTCTAACTTACTATATATAATTCTACCATTAACTACCATTAACATCGATATAAAATCTATTTCCTCAAAACCATGTCTACGAACTGGTTTTATTACTCGTTAGGGACGATTCACCGATGGCACAGAGCTTTTACCACTACAATTTTATACTTGAACTCCGAGCCTTGTCTTACTGTGTCTTTGTCGAGAACTTATGCGCGATGACACCATATTGGATTAAACGAATGCGGCATGAGAGGCAGCTGAAGTAATTGGCGCAAATATGAATCTCTTTGTTCGGTTTATGTAATTGTGCTATTTGCCGTGAAAATTTTTTCAAGTAAAAGTCAAAATTGCTTTATTCAACATAGGCTTGTTTTAAGTGCTTAGTGAAGGTGAAAAACTGACAATCCAAAAAATTCTTCAACCTTTTTAAAAGACGCTTGAAAGATTTACGTCCTAGACTTATCGCCGCGACTGGAATCTGCTGGAATCAGGCTTTAGGCACCATGTCCTGTGCCGCGAGTTAGTATTTAACATTGTAAATATTTGTTGTTTAATAAAACATACGTATATAACATTTAATTAAGAAGCATTGATCTCTTGAAAAAAAAATCCCACTATACCAAATGTTTTCAAGTCACGTAAGTAAACATTTTTCGATAATCGAATATGCCGCTCCTATGATGAAATCTAAAGATCTTGTTAATAATCGTTGCAACTTGAAGTTATACAGATGCTCATTCATGATAATTTTGACTATAAATTTTTAATTATAAATACTATGTTTGTTGAAAATTTAATTATCAGTTTCCTTTAACTTTGTTGGTATTGTATTTGATGACGAATGTTGCGGACTAATGTCGCAAGTCTGTTTTATCTAAAATCCGTGTATAATGAATTACACAATTATAAAAATAAAAATAAAATAAGCCTTTATTACTGTTACTTTAACTTCTAGTTTAAAGATAATCTGCGACTCACTTGACTATTTCGAAATGGCCCGCGCAGATTGCGTTGTGTAGAGCTGTGATTCCTTCGTCGTTTGCGGCGCTTGCATTTTGCACCTGAAATTCAGTTAATAGGAAACATTAATATTTTATTTGACACTTTACCATAAAGTTAAAATATATACTCAAAAGAAGATTCTCATCACCAAGAAGATCATTCTGATAAATTCAGAGAGTTTAACCATCATTTTGGCAACTCGAGTTTTGTTGAGTTTTGTTCCCGGAATAAGGGGTCGTAAAAAACCTAGCCAAAACCACTTACAACATGATTCACATGTAGTGATCATGTTGTGCCGACTTCATCTAGGGATGAAGGCAGGAGAAAGAAGAAAAACACTATTAAATGTGGGATAAGGGCAGAAAAAGAAATCTAAATGTTTAGATAACAATGTTCTACCTGGGTCGCTGTTTTCTTCACGAGCTCCAACTCTCCCTCTAAACTGGCGTCCAACAGGAGAGCAAGGGGGTCGAAGCTCACTCGCCTTGCGAGCGGCGCCTTGCCTCCCTGCTTCAGGTTTCCCTTCTTTGAGCGCCTCAGCACATTCTCAGCTCTCTGAGAATCCTGACCGTTCAAATCGACCGTGCCCATCTGGTCGGCTATGTCCGAAACACCGTTATCTTTGCCTTCATCCTGTCGCTCGTTGGCGGTTAACGGCGCGTTGTTGTTCAGGGACCTGTCGACCTCGTCCTTCTGCCTCGTCTTGTCCTTCGGGCCGTTCTGCATTTCGTTGGCATCCAGCGTTAGGTGGTCCATCTCGGGGAAAAGGAACGCCGGCGGCATTTCTATGCGCCGGTTTATGCTGACGCTGATGCCGTTCTTCGTGCTGTTGAGGTTCCTCAGCTTGGGCTGCTCGCTAAGCGGCGGCTTCCTTATGGTCAGCGGGCGTGCTTTGATTATCATCTCGCCGCTTCCATTGCTCGGCTCCTTCTGGCTCTGCTGCTCCTCGTTGGACAGATCTTGGCCGTGTGGTGCGTTTACACCGCTCTCCGGTACCAGATCGTTGCTCGCAGATTGTCTTGGCGGAGTCTAAAAGAGAAAAGGGAAAGTTCTCATTGTTTTAATCCGTCTAGACATTTCAGCTTCGCCAATTCTGTAAACGTTTTACCGATAAGTAAACGGCAGTAACTTTATTGTCACTATATAGTATTACATGCGATATTACGTATGACACATTTTTACTCTTTTTTCTTTTAGTACATAGTCATGTGTAATTAATTTTTTTTAAAAAATAACGCTCATAGATAATGATTACATAAGGATTTTAGATTTAGATAGTCACTGTGTATCGCTTCGCTCGAATGCATTTCGTGAACATTGCATGAACACTTATATTAAATGCGCTATGGGAAACCTTGGCAGCGGTTGTTTAACAATGGTCTCAAAAAATTTTTAAAACAATAATAAGTGATAAATGATGACAATGTTAACACACTAATATTATAAAATTTTACAAAAGCGTGGTCGAAATGATACCGATTTTATGTCACTTACTTTGATTGTTGGCTTAGGAGGTAATGCTGGTTTGGGAGATTTGTCCGTGCCGCTTACATCGGGAGTCGATAAAGGCGTGCTGGCACTTTGTGGCGGTGACAGCAGGATGCTTTGTGACGACGCGTTCTGCCCATTGTAGTTGGAACTCCCCGTGCTATTGGAGAGCCCTGATGCCGTGTTCCTAACGATCTGGGGTTGGGAATTCACCATATTACTAGCTACGTGATTCGACGAGGACACTGTAATGCTTTGGGTCTGAACCGTTTGCGGTTGGACGGGTTGGATCTTTGTCGATGATGTCTGGTAAATGGGTGATGGCTTCCCGCTTGAGACCTGAACCGATGTGGGTGCAACACTCGATACGGGTTTCTGCAATGAATGATGGCGATATTTACAGGTGATGCTATAATGAGACGACACGGTGAAAGCAATGTCAAAGCATGATCTAAAACGATTGATAAAGGTGAATTTGAAGTTATTGAACTCACCCCGAATCCTATAGAATTGCTGGCGGTCGTACTAGATATCGAACTTGGAGAGCTGCCTTTTATGATGTTACCCTGTTGACTCTTTCCTTTAGATGCTTCGCTGCTTTGACTATTACTCTGACTTAACCTAGAATTTTGCGGATATGCATGATTTTCCTTCCCTTCTTGGTTACACCAGCTAGAAGAGTCGGATTTTTGAAGTTGATATGTATGCTCTTGCTGATATGTCGCTTCGGTTTGACTTAAAGGCGTAGCGAGACTTTTGTTGATAACCGACAGTGGCGTTGAGTGTACCGTCATATGATTAATATTGGCGTTCTGTTGATTTTTAGCGTCCTGCATGTCTATGGCTTTGCCGTTAATTTCCGGTTGTTTTAATTTAGCGTTGCCGCTCTGCGGAAATTTAGTGTTGTATGGCAAAGTTTGATATTTTGGATCGGATTTGCTCGCAGCGAACTCCGGTGGGAACTCTTGCTCGTTGATCTTGATCTCCTTTCCGGTTTGGTTACTGTTTGAACTGCTCGTGCTGTTTGGGCTGTACTGCGGCAGTTTCGGGTAGTCTGGATATTTGTTAAGGTGATCGAACATAGTTTTCTGATCGTACGCGTTTGTGATGCCCTGTTGGACGTGGCTGAAGTTGTTGATTTCGTGTTTGTTTTGAAATTGAACCTGTGCCTGATACTGGTTGTCCTGTCCAACTGTTACGTGGGGAAAGTTGCCGTTGAATAGAGGATTCATCATTTGTTTTTGGTGTAGGTAGTGAGCTTCCTGCTGAGTTAGATGACTTTGAATGTTGTCGCTCTGCGTGAGTTGCTTTAATGGCACATTATTTTGTATTGCATTTTGCTTCAATGCCTGAAAATAATATTTGTATCAGACGTACAATCGATTACCATAAAATTGTAACAACGAATATATGGAACGGCAGAGATTTGTGACAGCAGTAGCAAAATAAGTAATTAATTAGAAACTATTTAATGTAACGTTTGCTAGCTTTTAATTTAATATGCTCGAGCAACCGAGGTCAAAGCCCGGTGCCAGACCAATGAAATTGATAATTGAAGTTTTAAATGCTGATATATCGTTCTCAGCGGTGAAAGGAAAAAATCGCTAGGAAACCTGCATATTTTCGAAATAATAATTAAATATCTATGAGCTCTGCCAATCCGCAGTGGGGTCACGAAGACTGTATTTTAATTTGTACGTTACTAGGTATCTTGTGAATCGCGGATTTGGAAAAGCGTTACACCGTTTAAATACGCAATGATGCTCATAAACGATATTAACTTAAACAGAAATTACCTGGAAATTAGTGTTATGGCTAAGGCTTGGGGCATGTGGTACGTGGTTGTAAGGCTCGACGGCGGCTACGTTGCCCCGCGCCTGTTGATTCTTTGGTTGACTGTTCATTGCGGTGCCCCCGGCTGGGTAGTTCGGCAGTTGCTGCATTGGCGTCGGGTTGTTCGTTCTGAAAAATCAAAATCAGATTTCCTTTGACTAAGTGGCCTTCTTCAGTCAATATAGTTGAGTCGGTTGAATGATTGACTATTTGTTATTGCTTCGAAAATATTACTTAACTCTATCCGAACGATACATACGTTGTTTAGATTTTTGAAATCAATTTAAAAGTCATAAATAAGTTCCAACAAACACGTGCACCGTGAATTTTTTTTCGTAAGTTTCTGTTGGATTTAAGTGTGTCAGTTTTACTATTAACACAGTGTTTAAGCGAGCGATTATAATTTAAGAAAATTTTAATGTTATTACTTTATTTTGGATCGTATTTACTTACCGCGAACTCCGGTTGGTCGTCGATCACGCTTATTTGTGTCCCTGTTAGGTATTATTTAAACAATTTGTGCTACTTCGGCAGGGTTATATAAATTTAAGCGCCATAAATATTTTATTAACTCAAACATAATCCAATTAAATTTAATTAAAATAAAATTTGAGTTAAATTCTAATAGTATATATTTATACTCGTAACTTCAAAAGGGCACAGGGTTTAATTTATTGTTTGCCAGAAACCAAGAGAAAGATAATGATATAGTCCTTTATATCATCCACGTACTGGCTATACCCTGCTTTATCATAATTATCCCTCAGTCTTAGCCTTAGGCGTCCGATATACACTACGGTACGGTGAGTCTATTAATCGAAGTTTCTACCGAGGAACGTGGCAATGCATATGCTTAACAAACTTTAATGGCGGTACGCCGTTCATTCAAGCTCGGTGTTTCGAAGTAGTTGGCATGAAACACGGCATCGGTGCGCGAGTTTGAGTGCTCTCGCAACAGCGACTCCAAGTGCCCGGCTTCAGTGTTGACGTTAATTTTCCCTACGTAATGGATTTCCACCGTGCAACTTGCATATATTGAATTTCGGAACGGAATTCAAACGCTACGTCGAATGGAAATTATGGCGGGAAGGCTAAGAGACATGGCGAATTGAAAGCGTTGGGAAATTAAATTCACGTCAAAGTGTACCAGTTTGAAAGTGTGTTTGAAGCGACGCGTATTAATGTTTCCGCGTAAAATTTCTGTTTCTGATTATTTTTTTATAAAGGAGAGGGCAATTAGCAAATATTGAAATTTAATTGACGACCCGAATGGCGTATTGGGTAGTGTACCTGCCTCCTGCGCCAGAGGATGTGGGTTCGATCCCCACTACTGGAAAAATATTGTGTGATGAACATACTGTTTTTCTAGTGTGTGCGTGTTTATATATGTATAATATGTATTTATTTACAAAAGAAAAGTATGTTTATCAGTTATCTGGTACCCATAGTACAAGCGTTGCTTAGTTTGGGACTAGAGAACGTTGTGTAAAAATGTGGCCTAAAATATTTATATATTTATTTATTAATTATTGCAAATTATTTTCACATGAAAATGTTGACGACGAATGAAGATGAGGCGTTAGATAATGTAAATGATATATTTAGGATCCTTCCGGATTTCTTGGATGCTAATCATAATCTCAGATTTATATCCTTTCTTATAAAAAAATGTGACAAAATTGGTTAAGCATAACCGACATTGATCAATGTAATGCAATTTCATTACATTACCAACCTTTAAGAATGTACCACCATTCTCAGTCACCAAACGAACCTCAAAATTATAAATACTTTCACCTTACGTCGCCCTTCCGAGACGTCCTTTGTTAAGTCGGCCCATTATGCTGCAGGAGTTGTTGAGTGGGCCCATCACAATAGTAGGCTCGTGTAGATACATACATATAAACTACCCCACAAGAGTGAAAACCTCGTCATTTCCTAAACTTTGGTAAACGATTTACTTATAGTAAGTAAATAGTTTACCCAATCTCTTAGTTTTGTTGTTTCATTAAGATACGCTTTATAACATTTGACCTAAATTATTTCAGGGAATACTTTTGTAAATGGAAGGCTTTTCACCTCTGCTGTTGGGGCTGTCGGTGCGCGGCCGCCAACTGCCTGTTCAGGGCTCGTTTCCTGAGGAGTCGCGCCTGCAGCTCGGAGACTCGCCTGTCAATGCTCCGCATCTCCTCCTGCCGGGCGCCTAGCGCGGCCCTTTGTGCCGACAGCCTGCCGTTCTGTTGCTCGTTCAGCTTATTGCGATACTGAGGAAAAATAACTAACTGTCGCCTTATCGTTCACCATTTGAAAAACTTTAGTATTCAGCTCCATTCCATCAATCTTGATGTTCCCATTTCGTGGGTGGGTTCGTCCACTACATAAATTGAGTGAATCTTTTCTGTAATCTTTCTGTTCAAAACTCTAATTGAAAAAGCTATTTTATTGAATTTTTATAAAGATTCTTTTTTAATTTATTTCCGATTTTAGAAAATAAGAGGCTTTTTAAAATATTTGTAATGAAACATATGTCCACTACACTATGAAGTCTCATTTCATATCACAATACAGCTTAAATATTATTCTATAACTACAGCGGCTTAGGATTTAAACTTATGAATCTCAAATAATTTACTGTAGATGTGACAATACGATGACTTGCCACCTACTAACAAACTGGTTTAGAACATAAATACATACCGAACGATTTTGAAAAGCCATAAAGTGTTTTATGTATTTGCTTGATAGGTATTTTACACTTTTACGATCGTATAAATTACATTAAAATGTCATTCAAATCTTAACAAGTATCTTCAAAAATGTGCATAAATTAATGTCACAACTTAATATTCCTTCAACAGATTAACATGAACATGAAAATAGATCTTTAAAATAATCCATATTGTGCTCAAATACGTGAAGACCGTGCAGCGAATGAATTTTCCCTCTGACCACTAAATTTTCGAATAACGTTGGATAAAATCGGGGCTAAAACAGCCCAGTCCACATCGAGTATGGCGATCGATCCTTGTACTCGTTAATAGCAGCGTACCGAGAATTAATCAACACTCGCCAATATAGCACATGTATTGAGAAGGTGATACCGTGGAGCCATTATTACTAGCCCGATTTATCTGACCACGAAAACATTCTAGTGCTAAATCAATTCCAAGCGAATGACTTTTTCCATGTCATTGAATTTTCCGCTCGGCATTAAGAACCGCTTTTTTTGTAATGTGTGTGTGGTAGATAATTCGAAATTTTACCGACTAAAATTTTAGGTATTAAATTTGCACTCGCATAACTAATGACTTGTGCGGCGTCCGACGTGTTGATCCAATGCAATTTATATATTATGCAGAAATATATAAAAAATTATTCAAATATTGAAAAAGTTAAGCCAAGCGCATGATAAGTCTACACTAATCACGTCTTTGAAAATCATGATTGTTTCAGCAACTAAAGATTTTTGAAATTTCATCGAAAACATTGCTTATCTGCATGACATTAATGATCCAGGACATGATGAAATTTTTAAATTATTCTTTTCAGTGGTGACATATCTGTGAAGAACGTGACATTCGCGTTCGTAGAAATTAAACTTTGGAATAATACAATAAATACCGAGTAATGTAAATCTTAACATTAATCCTAACCACACGCACTAAATCTCAGGATGAGCATATAGTAACGGGAGCGGCGACATTTATTTACATTATTCATAATTAAGAACCGCCAAAGGGCATTTTAGATTAGTCTCCAGGGCAAGTAACTCTTAGTGGTTAATAAGCTGTTCGTTAATTTTCAATGGTGACTTATAACTTGCTCAGCGGCGAAGGAAAACATCGTGAGGAAACCGGCGTATTTTCTAAATAATAACCCAAAATAAATCGCAGTTAATATGTAAAGTCTGCCAATCCGCAGTCGCGTGATGGACTATGCCCCTGTGTACAGGGAAGGACTTTGCCAAGCAGTGTGACACATGGTTTTTTTTTCATACAGTAAAAAGAGACATATGCAATAGGCAATATGTCCTGTTGTATGAACTGACTGAATTCCTGACTTCGAGTTCATCGTGACCCCATTTTCTTTCATGGTTTCCAACATGCTATGTACCTATGTTACATGCCATGGTCATAAAATTACGCCGTTTATTTTTAGATTCCCGTGTATAAACAGTGAAATTAATTTACTCTTCGAGATCCAAATGAATCAAAGCAACAAATGTACATAGGAGGTAATTCGGTATTTACGTTTTATATATTTTACACTAGCTGTTCCATGCGATTTTATTTGCGAGAAACGTTTTTGCCTCGCCCCATAGATCGTAGCGTGATGTTAAATACTCTATAACCTTCCTCAAGGGTTGGGCTACCAAATACAAAAAGATTTTTTAAATCCAGAGATTAGCGCGTTCAAACAAACAAACTCTTCAGCTTAATCATATTATAGTATAGATTAGTTACGTAAATGGAAATAAACTATAATTCGACACTCAACATCACGATTAGAATAGATATACTTATTACGTACGGAATTTTCCTCAACTGGGATCTTTCCGGCTAGGTAAGATTCATGGCATAATTTTGCTATCACTTTTCCATGTTTTTACACAGCACTGTATGGTCCACAAATTCAGCTGGTAGGTATTTGTTTACGAAGCATACACGTCGCTATTAACTAAGGTCACTTCTCGCTGATTGGATGCAGCATGCTAGTCGAGTGCCGCGGCCGTAACTAAATTGTCAAATTGAAGTCTGAATCAAAACGCTGGCGGCGGGAGCAAACGCGAAATTAGTTCAGTGACGTGTACCAATGCGAATATTGTCAGGTGTTAATTGCAGGGACGATTTGATTATCCCGTTGAAAGGGGGCAGGCGCCTATGTCGACTATTCATCGATGTTGAGATGAATGCTCCAATTATTTCAACAACTAATAGTTTTAGTTTATATTATTTATAGATTAGTTTATAGCCACGAATGATTTCATTGCTTTTCTTTTTTTTTTTTTGTATGTACGCTAAAATGTTAGAATAAATTTAAAAAATGAGTTAAGAACGAAACAAAAACAGTCGAAAAAGTAAGTTAAATGTGATATTGTTAATAGTAGTAGTTTAGTATTATTTATAAGGGTTATGTATTCATCATACTAAAATTTTGAATAGAAATAGGGGAAATTAGAAGTAATAAATGTCAGCGTAAAAATGTTCTATTTTTAAGCGAAATAGTCACAGTTGTCTGTTAGGTTATATGTCACTGTTAGATTTTAGGGTGTCTATTCTCTAAGTCAGTTTTAATGTCTTACGATTCTTAAAGTGATACAAGATAATATTAATGTGATGATGGAATATTACAAAAAATAAAATAAACGTTGTGTTAAAATTTGCATCATAGTAGACTTTAATTGATGTCTCACTACTTCTTCCGGGCTTACTTCTTTAAGGGATGACATTTTTATAATTTAAAATTTTAATAAATTCGATTGCGCTATGTGTTATCATAATATTGATTTGCATAGTTTAAGAATATTAAAAGTGACAGATTCAATCCTTTCTTTAAAATTTATAAAGAATCATATACTGTGCTTCCTTTTATTGCGAAAACACAATCTTAATAATCGTTTGAAATACAGTCAGTCTGTTTACTTTGAGTAAATGCTTTCAGGGGCTCACTTCTTGTTGAATTATATCGCAATTCGGTAAATTGAAAGCTTTCAACTGAATTAATGGAAACAAAAAATATGCCGAGATTTCATAAAGACTTTTTGTTGGTCGTGATGTAATAACGGTTAACACTTTAATAGCTCCCCTTGAGAATGACTCGGTATCAAGTCCAAGCATGAGTGTTCGACCTTACTCCCGCAACCTATTTGGCGAGCGAAGCCCGGTGATTCTACGTCCCGCGTGCCGATGGATTTGAACATACCGACGATAGTGTTGACGTCTTAGCGGTTTAGCCGCTAGAACTAGTGGTTTTGGTTCGTCCTTAGTAGCAGTTAATATTTAGTGCTAAATAATATTTGACGGTAAGGTAAAGCTATTGGGGAGACAATAGTTATTAAATGAGGTTTTGATAGTCATGCAAATTATTACAAAAATATTTGTTCGTTGTAAAGTTGGGGGGTAAATGAAGTAATTACTGATCTCTTAACGACAAAATGAGAATTATGGCTAAAACAGACTTGAATCAATTGTGTCATTTTTTAATTGATATTAATTTTATAGAAAATTGACGAAAAAGTGTGGACGAAATAGTGGTCGTTTGTGGTAAAGGAAACATACTAGATAGCGCCGAGCATTGCTTGCATTGCGTTTTATTGCATTTAAGTATAAGAATACTTTGAGATTTTCGTCGGTGCGAAGATAAGTTTATCCAGCTCAGCGACTAGAGCCTCGGGGGAGTATCTCGGTGGGAGCAGATTCGAATTCTTGCAGTGTCGTAAAAATTTTCAATTGTGTGCCATCATTTTCACAGAGCCATGAATGGCATTGAATGCCAAATGCTTCAGTTTAAACTTGGAGTTGTTGGATATAAATATGTGTGTTGATTGATTGAATCTGCCATTTGTAGTGAGTATTGCGATGTTTTTTATTCCATTTACGCAGTTGATCCGAAATTGGATTCGATGCACTTGCACTTTACGTTGATGCCAATAGAAGATAACAAATGAATAATAATTAGTGCCGCTCTTATTATTATACCACAAAGCTATTCAATAACGAAATTATAAATATGAACTAATACAGAAAACATTAAAAAGTTACTTCACCCCGAACTGTTTCTATCAACGAAAGAACAGACAACTCTTTGCATGAATTTAACGAATGCGTTTTTTCCTTTCATTGCTTTAACTTTCTATACTACTACGTATCCTTAAAATAACACATTATAATTTCTGGAATAAAGTAAACATTTCGACGGAAATTCCTCTATATTAAATGAACCTGAATGACCACTGTCTATGAAATTTGATTCTTAGATTTTATAAGGAATCACGGTGGCCCTTGATTTCGTACTTTCCGACATTGACAAGGGGTGGCCTGATCAATTTGAAAAGGGATTCCATATATGTTTATCCTGCATAGTGAGGCGCCAGGAGAATACATCGCACTAAACTCGATTGTTTACTTCCGAAACAAATGTACCAAAAATTCGAAAACATATTTGATTTTTCCCTATACTTACTATTTTACAAAATTTATTCACCGCTGGGAACCTATTCTAGAATGACAGCTTATTTACTTTAATGGTTGTGATACATTTCGTTCTTAGGTAAGATTGATAGCATGACAGCCTTATTCGATCTCAATACAATTTCTTTTTATACGATAATACGATACCATTTGCAAACAGAAAAGTTTTATTATTCTTATTTACGCGGTATAATATGGACAAGAGATCGGCTTAAACATCAGACATCTAAAACAAATTGTGAATCTGAATCTTAAAGACCAATTCAAGCAATCACGAAATTGAATTTCAACATTAATTTAAGCTGCAGATGGCTCACTTAATGTTTTTTGAACATCGCTGCTTGGGAATATTCGCAAAACCACACATAATTGAAAAAGAGAAAAAATTGGAAAAAAACAAAAGATTAGAAAAAAAATAAAAGTTAAAAAATAGCTTAGAAAAGAATATTGCTCCACAAATTGGTTCACACTCGCTTTGGCATGGGTGCAACTCACCATAAGCTCGCGTCTCAGTTTGTCCAGCTCTTGGGCAGAGGGCGGTGCCGGCTGCACCCTCCCCCTCCGCAACTCCTCCAGCTGCCGCGTTAACTCTTCCACTTTCGCCACTGCCACCGACAACTCCTTCTCCTTCTCATTGAATAAGGCGCGTATCGACTCTAGGTCGCTGTCTGAGGACAAAAGGAACAATTGTGTCACAATTCAATGGATTATATAATCGCAGTATGCTTAATTCGTCACGATGTGTTTATAAATATTCCTTTTGAAACGTAATGACGCCTTTTTGCCGTTAGTATATTTATATAAAGATGGTTAGTGTTTTTGAGGTGCTCAGTCCATCGGGCATACAAGACAACTAACTTAAGTAATCAGTCAATATCAATACCGTAACCATAACAGAAATGTGAACAAAACATAATTATTATATGGTTTAAAATGATGTTATCAATCTACTTGAAACTAAGTAACGACCGCATTTCAAATTAAAATTTCAATTATCGACCAAGTCCGAAACATCGTTTGAGATTTTTCTGCAAATTTGCCAGTTACAAACTGTACTGAATAATACAACTGAAAATGTACAATTTATACACTCTCCGTCCTTATACTTTCTTATAATAAGCTTCTTTTATCTTAAAATGAGCAAACAAAAAGAATAAATTGCATTGCAAGAGATCTCTTAGAAGGAAGCAAGGTCTTCATTCGTAAAGCGAGCGCAATACGTTAAGCAAAGAAAATGCCATTTCACAGTTTGAACGACCAGCTGAGATCAATTTAAAAGCTCTGAGGGAAATACCTCCGACCTTTCAATTACGGAAGACAATAAAGAAGGCACTATGTGTGAGAAGACGGGTCATGTCCGAAGATTCAATGCCATGAAAGCCTATAAAAACCCTAATACATTACACATGTGTCTACATTATAGCTTTTAAATACTTTTTTAATACTTTACACTTTAAATATCACTTATACAGAACATGGGTAGAGTATAAAATACTATTTGAAATATTTTTATGCAAAGTCGTTTGGAACTTTACAATTGCGATCTATCTTTTGCGACAACTTTGCAAATGAATGCAAGGAAAGGCACAAGCAAGAAATAATATATTTCCTTAGTTTACTTATAGGTATGAAACTGAAATATAGAACTGTATATATATCATTAAAATGCAATATTCCGTAATTGGAATATTAAAGAAGTTACCGTATTTTTTTTTTTTTGATAAAGTTTAAAATGATACATTATTATTTCGATGCAGTGAGTGTATCGCTATCTCTGGGACCAGTTGAAATTGATTTAGCTTACGGCCCATTTCGCATTATTTCCTTCACATGGATTAATAGCTAATTTTTATTTTTTCATTAAAACCGCTTTTATGTGATAGTTTTTTTGAAGATATAAATTCACAATTGAAACCTCACGCACGCAGTTATACGTGAGCACAGTGGTATATGTGAGTACAGTTCTTTTGAAGTAATACACATAGCTCACTACGTCTGTATTAACAGATTTTAAGTAATTAAAGAAAATGGCGCCAACGCGAATCGAAATTGCAACGTTTACGTGAATACCGGATTCGGTTTACTTAATCGAGCTTAAAGTACTCGACATTAAATTGGACTATGGCCGTTACATAATGTAATCGTAAAAGTGGATACCGACTAAATGAATATCACAGTACATTTTGTTCTAGTTATAAAAAAAAGATTATTTAATTGTTAAGGTAGAGATGTCCATATTTATGTAAAAAAACAAAAAAAACATAGGCTCTTGACTGCCGACATAAGTGAACAATATCATAATTCAAATTTAATTTAATTATAACATTTAATTCTACATATTTCATAGGTACACCGAACGATAATAACAGTATTTATATCATATACATAACTAGAAATATATTTATGCGTATTCTTTTTTCTAAAATAGCTAAAAGAATAACCATTATCTAATAGCTTTTTCTAATAAAAGTATAAATTATTTTAATTCAGTTGTATAGGAGTACTTTAAGCGTCGATATAATGATTGTAATATTTATTAAGACAGTTATTAAAACGATTGAATTGTTGAAAATGAACAACAGAAACTGCGATGTTTGTCTTTATTTAAAAGCAATAAAAATATGGTTAACAAGAAAAAACGTAACACGACATAACTGACGAAAGTTATTGATTTGTCCATGTCGCATATATGCCAGTCATTGTGTCTTATGCCGCCTGGTACAAACGAATTCGATTCTTTGAACTATGTGTATGGTGTCATGCAAAGTAGGATTTCAATTCAATAAAGCACTGCATTTGAATAATAATAATTTAAAGTTAGTTGACGGTTTAAGTGTAAGACAATTTGATTCAGCCTATTAGTTTTAATGCTAGTTTATCTTAATTTATATGGATATATAACAACAGATTTTTTTTCCTGCCTGAAAAAATTACGACACGAAAATTTGATGTTCAGATTTTTGACATTAGCTGCTTTTAGAACAAAAAGTATGTGTGTTCTTATGTACACGCGTTAGAAGTTATACGTCTTTAGCGTAACAACATAAAATCTTTTCAAAAATTTTTAAATCTTAAAACTTTCATCTTATTTTACGTTTGTACAAAAATCGACACTAACAAAGAAAAAAGGTATTGAATACATTGAAAGTTTTAATATAACGCATTATCTAGTTAAATAAAGTTTAATTAAATATCACAAAAAAAATATCGTGAATACAGTTGTCAGTTCTCACGCAAACATACGTAGATGTCTAGCTAACTTCAGGGTGTCGGTTTTTCGTGACAGTGTGCGCCCGCATCGTAAAAATTTACTCTCATCATTTTTCTCCTAACGCACCAAAAGAAGTATAACTTCAAACCTTATAATACAACTTTTTGCGCAAAGTAAATATAGAATCTAAATGACTTTTAGACAATTTTTTTTATTAGAATCATCTCATTACCTTAAGGCCAGTTTTTTGAAGAATTACCAGTTATATTTTGGCAGGAATAAATTATTTGTATTGTACGGAAATCGGTACATTTACTGGACTTCGTTAAGTAACAAAGTACAAAACGGATTCCAATTCCTCATGCACAACCTATACTACGACACATACGACAAAGGACTCTGAGTTTTTTTGGACCTTTTTATGGCGTCAATTTTATAGTTTACAACGCTGGGCGTCCGAATGTCATATTTTATAATACGTTATACATTTTTTATCTTCCTTTCTACCAGTAAACATCTTTGAGGTTCAATTAAGAAAGAGTAGAAAGGTTTGTTACACAAAATGTTTAAAGTAAAAGTCCTTTAACTTTTTAATTTTTATCTTTGTAATAAGACTACCCGAGTACAGTACAAAGAAACTGGAAAGTTTGGTATCAATGTAATTATGCAAGCCACTGAATTCTGAAAATACACTCGTAGCACAAAACTTTACTATAGTTTCAAAGAATCTTAACTTCAGAACTTTTAAAATTTGTCATGAAACGTATTGTACAGAAGATTTATTTTATCATCCTCTTATTCACTGTTATTCAATGATACTCACTTGAACACAAAGCTTTCGTTAAGTAATTGGACGTTTACTCGAATGCTTGATGAATTGAATGACCTTTCTAGGGCGAATGAGACACGCAGATACTTAAAATATATCAGAGAACAGACCACAATAAAATTTTCTTATTTTTTAACAAAATAAAACACAATTTTAAGTTCTATCAATATATTAATTCGTGAAATTTATATTATAAAAGAACCATACATGATGTATGAATTAATAATTTCATTTGATAGACCGAATTTAATTTCAGTCCACACGCAAAATTTAAATCTATTTGGTTTCATTTTCTCTAAGGTATACTCTTTTGAAGTAAAACATCTTTAGGCGCGACTATGGAATAACTCAGATTTTTTCAGACGGAAGTAACGCTTTTTCTGACGGAAGTAACGTCATAAGTATATTATGTCATATTTTTACTAAATATTTAATCATTTCAGTAATATATGCCGTCAACGCCAAAGAAGTTTTACTTCAATCGCGCATAAAGGTTACACGCACACACTTTTTAATAAAACAAATTCCTGTACAATTTTATATAATACGTCTTTACGGCTTCCCAAATTTTTAAAGGCACTATATGCGCGTACAGACATAAGCTATTTAATGGCCTTAGTAAATAAAATGAGCCATAGACTATATGGGCAGAGAAAGAAACTTGGCTTTAATAAACAAGGATTAAGTAAATAGATCGCATTGAATTTTTTCATAAAACTATAGAGAGTCATATTAAGAAATTAAAAATATTTATCATAACAACATACTTTAAAGCATAAGTGCAGCATAGGTTATCATGCCGTTTAGCTAGGGTTCAGCCGGGATAGCTTTCGCACGTCCACTTTGCGGCAAATTTATTACAAATAAGAGTTGCGGGGATACACATTAACGTAGCCCACTGGGATTTAAACCCACGTAATGGCGTCACAACCATTATGGCTACCACTGCACAATCCCTCGGAACATTAAAATTTTACAAAACTGTATATTGCATATAAATATTTGAGAAAGCAAATTATGAAAATAAACAACGCGATAAAATATTTTGATTTACATAAATATTTTCCTTGAACTTTCAAAAGGCAAACCCTAACGACAATAGTTATCGTAACGGCGTGTACTCGATCACTCGATTTCTCCTATTATAGTCCTTTTATTTCTATTTGCCGAAGATCTGAATGAATTGGCATTTTACTGTAAGAGGGACTTAAATAGACCGCTCGTTAGGGCTTTCCAATATTGACCAAATACATACTAAATATATAACATAATAAAAATGATTGAAAATGGTCTCAGCACTTGATTTTTAATTGTTTATTTATTCTAAAAATGTCTGATTTCTTGGGAGGATTAAAATACAGTTTTCAGGCGACGATTTATTAACTAAACTGCGATATTTTTTTATGCGAGAAAGTGGAAAGCGAGCTGGTGGATCACCTGAAGTAGGTGTCAACCGCCACCCATGGACATTTGCTACACTCGTAAGGTTGCAGATGCGTTGCAACCTTATAATAAAATGGAGCCGGGGTCCCCTCAACTCCAGCTGGGGACCTCACTCACCAGACGGAAAGCTGCAGTATAACACTTCCACTTCACGCTGGTCTTCTGTGAGGTTGTGGTACCCGGAC